GGTACAGACAAAATTGTGTTGTCCAATGCGCCTATCCGTTTCATTCTATTCTTCGTCGAAGAACGAGGTTAAATGCCATATTCCTTCATAGTTGAGCTCTAGAATCTGTCACTGAATATAGGTGAAACTCATTCACTCGAAATGTCGCAATGATGATAGACAGGGCTGCCAAATGCCCAGACATCTGTTCAAATTCAGCTCATGTTTGTTTGATTAATAGTTACTGACAGAGGCGTAAAACATTGAACTTCTCTAAGTATGAGGTATAAAAGATAGTCAGCAAAAAATTGTATCTCAGATAAATAGCAACTATTCTATTCAGTACGCCAAATTTCTCTCACGCTCTCCGTTCCGGTGATTCATGGTTCTTTGATTCCTTGACCTCGAACAGAACAATCTGCACAGTATACGTCTCCTGTACAATGGGATAACGTTTGACTTCTGATTGGATAATCTGGTTTCGTTCTGCTGGACTTCGCCAGAACGTACTATTTGAGTCAATCTTCGTGACCAACAAGATCTTACTCTGTTTTATTTCGGATTCAGCCAGTATGGAGTGACTAAAGGAGTGAATCAGTCACGTTCAACAGTTCGAAAAGTACTTTGCGATCCGACGCAAAACTTCAGGACGGAGCGTCAAACCAGCCCTATGCATGAAATGGTCTTACACCATATTGACAACAACAGCAAATGCCTCAATTACTGAAAGAAATGAAGAATCCATATACAAGTTAAGGCAGCATTATTTGACCAAATTTTCTATGCTCGTGCCAATTTTATTTGGTATTTTACCAATTTTCTTGCTATTACTTACGCGAAGCAGAGGACGTTATCGGCTCGTCAAGGATTTTTGAAGCATTCTGTTCGTCTTGCCCTTGAATCGTAATTTCATTCAGTGGCTAGATGGTCTGACGAAGTGACTAAATTATGCTTTCTTCGAAGATTATTACAGTCGAATGTCTCTAGTTCGGCCATCTCAGCTTGCACACAAATTGTCCCCTACATATTCTCCCCATACCTGTATCCAGATTAGTTAGTCACTGCTGGCTACACTCATTAACATACGGTTTTATGGTTCATGACATGCTTCTCATCTAAGCAAAATATGCTTCATCTTACTTCAACCTAGCTGTGATTTCTCGTGCTATTCGTTTCTGGTTCTCCTCTAAGGTGATACAGGCGCTGGATTTGTGACGAACAAATTTGTGTCGGTTGATGAGCATAGTTCGTTATGGAAATTTTTTTTGGCTCGTGTAGTCTCATAATTTTAAAACCTTAGATCCTTCTTGGCCTTGCAAACTATGGTGTAGAATTAAAGGAGCAGAGATGATCAGAAACAAGGGATTCTACCCTGACGGTGTGCCATGCGGTGTAGACGAATACTGCGTGGAGGGCAGGTGTCTGGTAAGTTTCGTAACTTTCGGTGTGGTGTCCGTGTTCTGGAACACTTTTTCTAGAAACTCGGTTGCAACGGCACGGCTTTGGTTGACAACGCGGACAGAGACTGTCCGAACGAAGGTTCGCATTATTCTCTTAACACAGGTCCTGCCAGCGTCTATGCTTGTTCAAATGCGTTTCAGGAAATTTTGGCTGGAGCATTTGGTCGGAGTGGACGAGCTGCTGTCATAAAGAGTGGAAGATCAGGCGGCGTTCGTGCTACGGCAAAACGGTAGCCGAAACTTTGAATTGGCAACACTGGCCAAATGACAGCAGATCATTTGCACGTTTCAGGGCCAGGAATGTGTCGGAAGCGACAGCGAAAGAGCAAAGTGCGGCAAGACAGAATGTCCGAAGTGGTCCACGTGGGGTGAATGGGGAGACTGTTCGTCGACGTGTGGCCAGGGATATCGTCTTCGCTCGCGTGAATGCAGTGTGCCACCGAAGTGTGAAGGTATCGATGCGATGCATGTGTACTGTATGTCTGTTATCATAATATAAAAATTAGTAATAGTAGTAATATCACCTTTAGTCGCTTGCGCACAACGACTCTAGATTTTCATGTCCGCTCTATTCGCAGGTTTTCAACACCTTTGCTATAAGGCACCGGCTACTGAATCGCCGACAAAAGAAATCATTCCTATCCGGTTGCAGATCTACCTCTGTCTTGTTCTTTCACGTTGCATGTTGGCATACTGGTCGATGTCTGCCGTGCTTCAGATTTCATACGAGAAACTGAGTAAATGTGCTGGAGTGAATGATATGGACTCGTCCAATTTATCCAACAGGACCGTCCCCATTACTTAATCTGTACATGTATTAAGGTCACTTGTGCCAAGAGAAGAACTGTGTAATTACAGGCGTCCTCTTGTGATTTAATTCTTATTATGCATGAAGCTAACAATGCTGCTCACAGTTCAATAGTCGTCCTTACTGTTCGTTAGAACAACTGTCTCTTTGCCTTGCAACAACGTTTACCTGACAAAGACATGGCACAAACAGACTTCTGTGGAAAGAGCTACCCTTTTATCGATTCAAATATTGGGCATGTTTCTGAGCGTGTTCGAGGCTATGGCGATTTTCCTGTTTAGCTCTGGCTGGACAGTACCATCGCTGGAGATGATGGAACCGAGATACTTAAACTGGACAACTTCTTGAAGGGCTTCACTCCCTGTTTTACTTATAGATCAGCTGTGTAGGATGAGTTCCTCATAACGTTTAGACACCCCTTAGAAATATAACTGCGACACTAAATTTTTCCAAAAAAAATTCAATCTAGTCTACATTAAACAACTCTTTTGGCAAATAAGGAATTTCAGTAAATATTTGTATCAGCCACAGAGAATATTTTTAAGTTGCTCTGACACCGACACTTTAATATTATTACAAATGGCACAGTTCCTAAATCTAGTAAATCAACCAATATTTGCTGCAAGCGAGTGAGATCTGTGTGGACAGTTTGATGCCCCTTGCTTTCGTCAGAATTGTCCTTATGCTTAGCAGAGGAATTTTGTTTTCCATCCATACATTTAACGATTTTTCCACGTCATATGTAGCATCAGAGTACCTCTTCAGGATTATTATTGACTGTAAAGAGGCAGGTACTTTTATACGTTTCTTTATATGGGCAGTATCCTTCATAATTGTGTTCAGAATTGATAGTGCTTGACCAAAATCAGGTCCCATGAGCGTTAAGCTTTGTCCACCTTAATGTTTCTTTATAATTATCATTTTCACAGTTACATCATTTTAGTGCGTTTATGCATGGGTTCATTTTTTCGCTTCTGTTCAGTTTTCTGGTCATGATTGTACTTTACACCAAAGCACGCAAATACTAGAAGTTGTTATTGTGTATGAATAGAAAATATGGCACATCCGTGGTGAATAGTAAACAAAGCGAGACTGAGGAAGGCGCACCATGCACCGCTTAATGCATCGACGGGATGCCCTACGAAAGACCGCTATTTGATGGCCTGCGAGTAAGCAGCAGCGTAGTAAAGTTTAATTTCTATAACACAAATATTTTGCTTATCCCTTTCAGGACAATTTGTGAAATTTTGATTTCCGTTGGATTTATGTAAGTCAGGGTTTGTCTGTAATCCGTCAACTCATAATTGTGACCGGTAATCAAAAAATAAGATTATGTGTATGGGCGAAGGAACTTGAGGACAAGATTCGCTGGAGTAAAAATTCATTTGATATGCGTACCTCGCTTGTCTGTTTACAAAGAATTATGCTCAGTAATATATCGTTGTTTACTTAAATTACACATTGTAATTGTTTCTAAAACAGTCAACCAAAGATGATCGCAAATTTAAGGGAACTCCGTTTTTCAGGTTCCAGCATTGATACAGAAGAATGCAATGGCAATCAGTGCACACAGTGGAATTCGTGGTCTAGATGGTCTTCGTGCTCTCAGTCCTGTAACACTGGTTTCCGCAAACGATCTCGGAAGTGCCCTGTTGCCGGAAGTTGCCTGGGCGCAGCAGATGAAGCAGAACTGTGCAACAGCGCTGTAATTTATGCATCATAATAAATTAGTTTGACAGCGTGTGCTTATAGCCATGCCATTCGGACTACGAATGGACAGCGTGGTCAACGTGTAGCAGCAAATGTGGACCCGGAATAAGAAACCGGACGAGGAAGTGCAAGGAAAGAAGCGGCAGACGGTGCACCCGTGGCAGTGCATTGGATCGTGAAGAAATGAGTTGCAACTTGGGACCTTGTCCCACGTGGTCGCCTTGGAGTACGTGGTCAGAATGCACTAACACGTGCGGGTTGGGGAGAAAGGTCCGACGACGCAACTGTTCATCTTCTACGGATCGGTATGTCGAGTTCTGTTCAATCGGTTGGTGATCACCGTTTTTCGATAGTTGTACTGGCGAGGCAGAGGAGCATGAAGGCTGCGTACAAAAGGCGTGCGACAACAGGTCGTTCGTTCATGAATATTCTTGGTCTGAATGGGGACTGTGTTCTGCAACATGCGGAGCCGGCATTAGAAGCAGGCGCCGCAAGTGCAAGTAATGAAACGAGTGTTGTCAGTGATTTATTTTAACTTTCGTCATGTGCTGAGTTCTCATTTGGGCAAATCAAATTCAGCAAGCAATTTGAGCGGTGGCACACTGACAAAACCGTTGGTGTCGACCTCCAGAAGTGCTCGAATGCGGAAAACGGACGATTTTTGTCTTGATCATGAATTCCCTTCAGAAGAGAATTTACCCTTCATTGGTTCGGTGCAACGAGGTGCCAAGAAAAGGCTGGCAAGTCGTTGGCTTGCGAACATCAGAGACAGCTTGGTATTTCGCTGTGGCCATACTGTCTGACGCAAGTTCCATTTAAAGCTACATTTGATTCCAACTCACTTGAGAGCTGTTTCTCGGCGTAATCCCGAAGAAAGGGGATACACTGATATTATACTCCAAGGTACTTATCCCGTAAGCAAGTCAATACAGTAGTTAAGATTGTTTAGCATGTTTTTTCATAGCCTTTCATGACCTTCTGAAAGGAAACCGTATCATAAGTGCATTACTGATCAATCAAATATGGTAGTGTTAAGATTTCTGGGCCCATTCAGCTGCCGATCTGCTTTCAAAAGGAAACCTGACGCCGATCATTGTTTTTAGCGGTAGGTCGTTCGACTCTAAACTCATGTTTCCGTCAGAGAGCAGATATTGAATAAGTTACTTGCGTCGAGTCCTTAGGGCATTCTGCCGCTAGTAACCGAAGATGAGGTAGTCTGTTCGTGCAGGTGTGTTCCCACGTAGCTGCACTCGCGTCCTTCGTCTGTATTCTGCGCTTTCACTTTTATTATTCAAAATTTTTGCTATTTTTACCTCTGAAACGGTGCTGACTCTGGCAAAAACGAGAGTCTTATTCTGCAACTGAGACGCACTTAAAAATATCCATTGACATGGAGTTCGAAGACGATATTGACATGAAGAGCATTACAGAAAGCGGACCCCCTCCGTTTAAGGCCCATCTATGCATCCGGTGTGAAAGGAAGCAGACTAACGTATCAAATGTTGCAAAGATTCCAGTCGGATCAACAAATCCTCACGTTAAACAGGGAGATGAAACGGTTGACAGATTTGAGTATTTCGGTTCCGTCATTCTCAGCATCACATGGCCATTGTTACACGGGGAAAATCGCCTTCAACCGCCCTTTTGACAACCTTTTGATATTTAAAATGAGATAGGAGCAATCCTTTTCTACCAAAATCTGTTTCGATCTTATACCACATTAAACGCCAACGAAAACCAAAGACGACGGTTGAACTGCATACTACTGCTATCTCGTCAATGCATACAGCGGATTAAGTGATAAATGCGCTTCAGGGGAGGGGCTTATTATGAGCGTTATGGATGCTGTTCTGCCAGTATAATTTCAATGCAGCGGATTTGCTCTTTTAAATGCAACAGTGCGGAAAGCGCTGGTGTTGAAAAGGTAAATGCATCAGCTGGGGAGAGGGTGAAGATTTTGTACAATGTAACGGTTTCTGACGTCATTCATGCAGTCATGGGTGCTGCTTGTCCGTTAGAGCGGCACGGGTAGTAGCGTCACACAATGTTATAAGCATTACTACCTTTGGTCAGTGCTACAGCGTCGACAAAAGCCTTCCTTCCATTACAAGCCTAAAACAGGAGTGATCAACGAACTTGCCTTCCCCCCAGTCATCCTGGACCTTCTTTGGGATCGTTGACATGTCGGCAGCGCAAGGATCAGCTGCTCGGTCATATTGCATATTGGCATTTACGGTGTGCCGGAGTTCTCGCAGCTCCTACATGCAAATCGCGAAAAGCGGCTGCTCAATTCTAAGGCTTCAGGAATAATCGTTGAATATCAAGCTATATCAGAAATATTTTCTGCTCCATTCCAACGGCTGATAATTTCTAATCATTAGCGGAAAGTAAGTGAATAACAATAAATAGTAGCCGCTGAACAATCAGTACCTAGGTTGTCATGAAAACGGATGAGAGAAGACGAGAATGATGTCGATCCTCTTCAAGTGAAGATCAGCTAAAGACAGTGAATTGCGTGATTGAGCTCTGAAAATTCAAACTGATGAGGCTCCTCGACTGTTAGTTTATTGAGATCATCTCCTTGAGCCATTTCGAAACTTCTCTGGCCTGTGATGTCCGCTGCAGCTTTCCAAAGTTTGGCTGTTAGGCGCCGGTGACTGCATCGCAGAAGGAAATACTCCTCCCCAAAATCAGATATTGTTCCTTGTTTCTACCTTGTTCCTGCGTGTTGCATGATGTGCTGACCTCCCTGTCAACATCTGTCGTGTTTCGGCTTCAGCATAGAAGCTCACGGGCTGGTGTAAATGTTGCATGTTCAACCAATACGTCTAACAGGGCTCACCTCCTTTTCTTGGTCCTCACGTCTATCGCCTCTGCCCGCGAGAGAAAAGTCATTCTTTACGTGCTCCTGCCATTCTTCTGACCTGGCAAAGCGATATCTTTTGCGTCTTTGATAAGTATAGATCGAGTCCCCTGTCTACTGGATAACTTACGCACTTTGTCACTTACTCTTTCTGGCTACCTTGACGAACTTCCTCATTTTCATCTCCAGCCAAAGTAACCTGTCGAAACGGAACTAAACGAAACGGGCGATGAGCTGTCTTTGAGGGTGCGGAATATTGTTGCAAATACTCTTTCTTTGTCCCATTCCTCTACACTCTAAGGCCAGGGTCTGCTCCATCATCCACGGCAGTTTGGCTGTTCTCCTTCTGACCCCAGCTACACTGCTGTGGAAGTGACAGATTTTAGAAGTCTTTGTAAGTTTCGTCGACGTTGTCACTTGCAACCAACCGCATTGCTTCGTCGCTGAGACAGGGCTAATTTTGAACGAAATTTCAATATGGTGATCAGACTCACTGTAATCACAACGCTTGAGGTGAATTTAGAACGACGAGCTGCGGTTGATGTAAAGTTGGTCCAACAAGGGGGGGGCGGGTTTAGACTTCCATTTCGAGCTGTCCAAATGGTTTGGTGAATATGCTAATGAGGGAAAAGAGTTCAACCGACGATTAAGCTGTTTGTGGGGCAAAAGCTCAACAGTCCCCTGCTGTTGTCGTTCATGCTGTCATACCATGACGATCGAGTACGTCAGGCTATGTGCTGTACTCAGCAACCGTATTCGCGAGGAGGTTGTCTGTGACAACTGCTACGTCATGGCGCGATAAAGCGTTAACTGCAGCCTACCTGCAGTCATAGGAAGCATTGGCTGTGGCTGTTACTCGACACATCTGTCAGAGCATAGTCGACAGTGACAGACGTACATGCGACAAACTGGGATTCTCGCCAGCATCTGTTCCAGCGAAATTAATGCCCAGCATACCCTAGGAGACTAGATAACCAAACAGACACGGCGCAACCTACTGTAGCCTTTCCATCGAAATGACGACTCATTCTACAGGTCAAACATCCCCTTCACCGTGGGGCGAGCTCTCATGCTCGCCAGTACCATTAGTTTAAATCAACTAACCGTACGGGAGACGGCATCTAACTTACCTTCGCTAGACGAGGAACGAATGATCCCACACGCAACATGGAACTTCCTACTTGTAATGTTGAATGTTGGAATCACGGGTTTCTTTGGTTCCTAGCTCTATGGTAAGTTGCGAACAGCTCGTTGCGCAACTCATTTCCGCGAGGATAGTCAGTTCGCCTCTGCTCGCCTAGAGATCAACCTGATAATTTGAGTGTTTTGTCGTTCAATGGAACTGAATTAATTTGAAGGTATTACTAAACAGTTCATAGTCGCTTGAATGCTTACGTTCTAATGCTAACGGTTTAGATCCATGGAGTGCTAAAGAGTCCTCAGTTTAGCACTTCGCGAAAAGACAGCATTGTCAAAAAAAATAATTTTCGTGCTTTCTCCATGGGATAATATGGACATCGATCCTTTGGTCACGGTCTGTATTTGAATGTCCCTCTTCAAGGGAACAAGTTACAAGGAGCTATCTAATACCGTGGCTTGGTTAGTTTATAGAAGCTGGTCGTTACTTTGAATAAGTAAATGAGTGAGAGTTAAATACGGAAGCTCGTAGGTGATGTAATTACCTCAAATTCGAACTCAGACGACTACAGACGAATCATGAAAGTTTCAAGTTGCAAAACGCACCTTTCTCATATGTTGTTTACCTGAAGTTTCGGCAATAAGATCACTGAGGTAGGCGGAATGATTTTTGTACAGTGTTGTGCAGCTTAACCAAAGTACGTTCGGTGCACGGTAAATATTGCCATATGCAAATCTCGCGCGGAATGTAGCGTCTGCATCAACGCTGAGGTTCACTCTGGCAAACAACTGGCAAATAGACATACATAACTGAAGAAGCAATTTGTAAATAGCTCTGTGAGTATCATCTATAATTTTTTTCAGTCCAGACTTTTGAACTTGTTTACGAACATCAGTGTGTTAGGCATCATCATTCACTAGGGCGTGCTGAGTCAAAATTTATTGCAGCTGTAAGCTGCAGTTCGATCAATGTATTTTGTTCGAAATTTACATTTTCAATAGCGAAAGATGGACGGAGAACGTTATACATGAAGAGGTCTCTCGGGAGCATTTTATTGTTTGCAGATGATTGCGTCATCCACAGTTCATCGAGTTATTCGCATGATCATTTCGCTGCCACATACGATGAGGTCGGCTTTCGCTTTCTCAAGCGAAGAACCTCACTGTGCCCTGTAGAGGAGCACAGTTGAAGCAAGAGAAAAATTCAAGTGTTTCGGGACAGTCAGACGAACGCTGTAACGCGAGAATTAAAGCGGTCTGTGATGATGAAAACCTAACTGAGGTGTAGTGAGAAGCCGTCCGTCCTCAGGTTTGTGTATGCACTTGCCCTTGTCTATGGTTATGAGGAGTTTGCATTTATCTAAAGAATGCGATACCGGATATTGCAGGCAGAAATGAGGCTTTTCGAAGGGTTACTGGCCTTACGGATTCTACAGGGCCGGAAACACTACAGTTCCGGATGCCCTCAGTTGTGAATCCCTTTCTCTTCAGAATGAGGAATTACAATTGTAGTGGGTTAGTCACGTGATGGAATGCGATGGAGGGCCAATCCAAGC